AAAAAAAAAAAAATGAAAAAGCAACAGGGATATGTGAAAAGAGAAATGACCAAGCTTGGGAAACAATTTGAACAAAAAATTAAAACCATCATAGATATGAAGACAAAATCACAACATATTCAAATAAAAATAGAGATGACTACAATTACAGTAAAGCATATAGAAGTTGGGAATGACAAAAGCTAAGACAGCAAAAAATACAGAGGAAGAGCTGAAAAGGTCCAGAACGAAAATGATAGGTAAAGAAGAAGTAACACAGGCAAAATTGGAGCTCCCAGAAGCTACCAAAAAAGAAGACTGTGGAATTGCTTAATACTTAAAACTGCCCCAGGAGAGGGACACCTGGGTGGCTCAGTCGGTGAAGCGTCTGCCTTTGGCTCAGGTCATGATCCCAGAGTCCTGTATCAGGCTTCCTGCTCAGCAGGGAGCCTGCTTCTCCCTCTGCATGCGGCTCCCCCTCCTTGTGCTCTTGCTCTCTCTGACAAATAAATAAATAAAATCTTAAAAAAAAAAAAATGCCCCAGGAGAAATTTCTGAAAAAGCAAAAAGAAAACCTAAATCTTTATCTTGAAAGGGCCCCTTTCTTACATAGCAAAATTGACCCAGAATGATCAACTGAGACATATCCTGGCAAACTATTAAATTTTGAAGGTGAGGAAAAGACTAGACCAAAAGAGCTAGTCTCTTACAAAGGAAAGGTCAGGTTGGCATCAGACTTCTCAAAAAGCAAGTAGTGGTGGAGCAACATTTTCAAGAAGTATAAAGAAAAAAAATAGGAACTAAGAATGTGTTTTGTATCAAGCTAAGCTGTCCTTTAAGTATCAAGGATACATGTAAGTTTTAATCATGTGAGAGCTCAGGAAATATTGTACTCATAACCCCTTCGGATCTTACTAAAAGACAAGCTTCAACCAACTAGGAGATGGTTGGGGAACTTCAGCAAAAGGACTGGTGGTGAGCATTGAGTATCTTTAATTTCAGATATAAAACCAAAATGAAAGAGGAGATGGGGTGAAAGAATAGTATCAAATGATATTCTTTGACAAGGTAGAAGTAACAATGAAATAAATGAAAAAGAAGGGAGAGAGGAGGAGGACAGTACAAAGAGGTCTTTGTTGCAAAGGCAGTCTGTACAAGGCAAAGGGCATCATTTAAAGTTGATAAACCAAATAGTTGGGGCTTAAGTAAGGAAAAAAAGAGACAAAGAATTATATAAAGGTACAAAGATAATCACTAGAAGATAGAAATCTCCCTCAATGCCCAAAGAAACAATAATAAAAGCAATAAATCACATAGTGAAAAACATGCAGTGAATGTAGCATCATACACAGTAAATACATAATAAAAATAAGCATAGAGTCAAATTAATAAACTAAAAGGCTCAACTCATCTATTAAAAAAAGTTCAAAAATGAGCAAAGGGGAAAAAAAAAAGAAAGGCAAACCAAGAAATAGACTCTTTTTTTAAAAGTAGGCTCCATACCCAGCATGGAGCCCAATGCAGGGCTTGAACTCACAGCCCTGAGATCAAGACCTGAGCTGAGATCAAAAGTTGAATGCTTAACTGACTGAGCCACCCAGGTGCCGCAAGAAATAGACTCTTTAACTATAGAGAACAAACTGGAGGTTATCAGAGGGGAGGTGGGTAAGAGGATGGGTGAAAAAAGGTGACGGGGATTAAGGAGTACACTTGTGATGAGCACAGGGTGATGTATGGAAGTGTTGAATCACTATATTGTACACCTGAAACTAATATTAGTTATGTATAAGTTAACATACGTATATGTATGTTAACTAACTGGAATTCAAATAAAAAAGAAAGTTCAGATTGGCTCACAAACCAGCATCTTATCTGTTATTTACAGGAGACACATCTAAAATGATCTGGGCACCTCAGTAGGTTGAGCGTCTGCCTTTGGCTCGGGTCATGATCCCAGGGTCCTGGGATCGAGTCCCTCATTGGGCTCCCTGCTCCACAGGGAGCCTGCTTCTCTCTCTGCCTCTCATGAATAAATAAATCTTTAAAAAAAAATAAAATAAAATAATTGACCCATAAAAGCTAAAAATTAGGTGGGCAAAAATATACCAGGCAAATACAAATCATAAAAAGCAAGATTACAATATTGATATATGACAAAGGTAGAATTCAGGAGACAACTAGATAAAGAAGGACACTATAATGCTAAAAGCCACAATTCACAATGAAGGTATACTAGTACAAATGTTACAGCCTCAATTATTTCATTTTTCAACTTTAAATTATTTTCTTTGATTTCACCTATAAATTCCAACAGAATCTATATATCTTCTGAATATATACTGAACTTGCATCTTATAATAAGGAATAATAATACATAATCGAGGATACACCTATTATTCTCACAGAAATTGGCCATTTATTATATCACAAAGAAAACATATAATTTCCACAAAATAGAGATAATACAATCTTCTTTAATCACAATGCAATAAAATGAGAAATTAATAAAATATATATTTTTAAGTTTCACCTGGAGAAAGACTTTTATGAATTATTCTTGGGGCAAAGGGGAAATATAAACCAAAATTTCAGAGCTTTTAAAAAAAGATTGATAATTAAATCTGTGAGAAATAATTAAAGCATTGATAGGTGAAATATAGCTTTAAAATACTATAACACGTGTCAACTATACTCAAATAAAAATTTTAAAATACTGTAACATTGATGAAAGAATAAAACTTAAATAAAAATACAACTCAAAAGCAAAAAAAAGGACAAAATGAACAAAAGAAGGGATGTAAGAAATAATGATAAAATCACACATTAGAAAAACAGGAAAAAATAAAATTAATGAAGAACATTTTTATTATTTGAAAACAATTGGGGCACCTGGCTGGCTCAGTCGGTTAAGTGTCCCACTAATTTTGGCTCAGGTCATGGTCTCAGGTTGTGAGATAGAGCCTCACATCAGGCTCTGTGCTCAGCACTGAGTCTGCTTATCCCTCTCCCTCTGCCCCTCCTCCTGGTTGCACTCTCTCTCAAATAAATTTTAAAAATCTTAAAAAAGGAAAAAAGAAAAACAACGAAAAGAGACAAACCACTAGCTAACTTACGTAAAAGGGGGAGGAAGTAGAAATACTAAAAATAAAAATGATAGTGAAAAATTAAGATTAAAACAAAATAATTTCTAGTTTTAAGGACTATTTTGTACAACTCTGCAAATAATTTGGAAACCTAGATGAAATGGTAATGACCTAAGGTACTAAAGTGACTCCAGTAGGGGCGCCTGGGTGGCTCAGTCGTTAAGCGTCTGCCTTCGGCTCAGGTCATAATCCCAGGGTCCTGGGATCGAGCCCCACGTCAGGCTTCCTGCTCTAGGGGAAGCCTGCTTCTCCCTCTCCCACTCCCCCTGCTTGTGTTCCCTCTCTCGCTGTGTCTCTCTCCGTCAAGTAAATAAATAAAATCTTAAAAAAAATAAAATGACTCCAATAGAGAAAGTTTAAGCAGACTAATTTTCATTAAGGGAAATAGAAAAGATTATCAAAGACCTATAATATGAAAAAGGCTCTAGTTCAGATGGTTTCACAAGAGGATGCTACCAAACCTTCATTGTTCAGTTAATCCCTTTGCTATATAATGTATTTCAGAACATTGGAAAAGAAGAAACACTTCCAGATTTTTTTTAAAAGATTTTATTTATTTATTTGACAGAAAGAGACACAGCGAGAGAGGAAACACAAGCAGGGGGAGTGGGAGAGGGAGGAGCAGGCTTCCTGCTGAGCAAGGAGCC